GGTTTCCATCCTGGGTCTGTCACAGGATGTGATGCTGCAGGTAGATCTTTCTGCATGGAGCTGGGCACAGGGTCCCTGCACTGTGCAGAACAGCAAGGGGAGAAGCCCACAGGGCAGTGGCTTTGGATAGCACCAAGGCACCACCTCACAGTTTGTAGGTCAGAAGTCTGAGCTGCATCTCGCCAAGCTATGAGCAAGGCACTGCAGGACCATGTCCTTGCTGGAGGCTTCAGAATCTGCTTCCCTGATATCTGGGTGGTTAGTTTCTGTTCCTTCCATGGTAGTACCCGGGTTCTGCTTCCTCACGTCAGCTGAGGGTTGTGGTCAGATGCTGGAGGCACCAGCAATCCTGGGCCCTGGTTCCCTTTCTCCATCTTCAAATTCAGGCACAGCAATTCCAATTGCTCCTGCCCTCTTGAGGGACCTCTGACTCCTCTGCATCCCTCTCCATTGGTAGAGCCCACCTCGATGATCCGGGATAATGCCCACACTTTCAGGTCCATTGATCAAGGACTTTAACTCCCTTTACCATGTAATGTCATCTATTCCCAGGGATAATGTCAGGAAGGAAAACCGTGATTCCAAACTCCCACCTGCCACAGATGGCGTTTCCCATCTACAAATCTGAGCCTCTGGAGACTGCTTCCTAGAGACATGATTTGTCAGGGTCTGAGTGGCGTAAGGGCTACAAGAGCAGACCTGAAGCCAGGCTTGTCCATTGTGAGTCCTTCCCCAGGGATTCAGGCTGTGATCTGGTGGAGTGGCTTGCTCTGCATGCCTCTCTCTCCAACTGAGAAACGGACATAATTGTTTCCCCAATAAGCCTCTTGTGAGGATGTGCAATAAATGTCACCTGAAATTATCATTACATCTATTTGCACTGCCTTCTCTACCTGTTATGGAGAACCTATCTCTGGAACAGTTTGCGATCACCCCACATACAAGCGAGGGATAATGATGTCCTCTTATTGTGGACAGACAGCATTTTATCTACATCACCAGGAAGCATTACCACAGTGGAAATTTCTGTGGAGTTGATATTCCTGCTGTACAGATGAGGAAATCAAGGGAGGAGGGGAGAGTGGCTTGCTGCACCTCCCAGAGGTCCTAACCAGTGGAGGAGGGGAAGCCTCATCAGGATGGAGGACAGTGGAAACCCAGGGCTCACACAGCCGCCAGGGCTGCAGCTGCAAGTGGAGATGAGCTTGACAGCTCGAGTGTCGGTGGTGGGGTGGGAGGACTAAGAAATGTTGGAGTGGACCACTGAGAACCACCTCTGAGCCCTGGAATTGGGCAGGTTAATAACAGACCAAGACTGGCCCCTACTCCAGCCTAATAATCTGTTGTGGAATTGCTGGAAATGTTTTTGTAAAATTCTTCAGTGAGATTCTAATGCACTATAAGCATTGAGGACCACTGGACTAAACTAGGAATTCCATGAAGACCCAAAGAATGTCCTCTGTCACAGTACCCCATACAGTATCCCAATTACATAGCATGCAGTCGGCATTTGGTCTAATAGAGCTGTGACTATTCCTGCTCCAGGCACCTGAATTCTGCTCTCTACCTCACGTGGGGTCTGCAGTCTCCATGCCCAGTGTCTGGTCCCACCGTGTTCCCTGTTGCTTTATTCTATTATGAAGTTCCACTATCACGAAGGACTAAATCAAACACCTGTGTGTTCATGAGGGCAGCCCTGAGTTCCCCAGGAGGAAGGTGCTTCTTTCTCCGGCAGGTATCCCAAAACCCACCCACACTCCATTTGCAACTGAGCTCATGGGAGAGCATGACCTCACCTACCTGCCTGGATCTCCCTGAAGGCAAGTCCCAGCCAAGGTGACCTCAGCCCCCCAGAACCTAGATGGCATCCAAGAACACCACAGGTGCTCAATAAATGTACTAAGTATCGTGAGAAAAGACTGGACCCAGGTAGAAACTGGGGTCATGATGCTGTCACCTCAGGAAACCAGTCCTGCTGACCTCCACTAACTGCAAAGGAAGGACTGGGGGAAGTCTGAGAAATGGATTTCAGAGAGATCAGGACCTGGGGTTGGGAGCTTCAGACACCTCCAGGGGAGGACCCCCATGGACAGACCACTTGGGGAGTCCCCGTTGGAGAGATTCAGCCCCAGACCTCCTCCCCTGGCATCTCTTTGCTCTGTGTCCCCAGAAGAGCCTCTGATTGGTCAGGCTCGGGTCCCAGGAATATGGCCAGGGTAGGGCAGGGCCCTTTGGCAAGGGCTCTCCTGAGGCTCCCTGAGGAATAAGTGAGGTGCTAATGGGAAGGAGGGCAGAGCAGAAACTGGCCAGGCAAGACCAGGAACCTCAGCATGATACCCTGCTCCACGGCTTCAGTTCTTTTCCAAGGAGCAGAAGAAAAGACATGGGTCTGGAGAGGAATGGGTCTGGCTGAGGGGTTCCATGATCATTCTTTTCTACAGATTCATGATGTGCCCTGCCCTGGGGATCATCTGCAATGACCTTCCACCTTTCCCACTCTGTATGAGTCACACCCAGAAGTGCAGTGTGAAGCCTGCATTTCCTCCCCACCGCACACTGGGCTGTGATTGGGCTGCTGTGGCCTCCATCCCTTTATAACATTGCTATATTTTAATGCTACTTCTGAAGAAAGGGCAGCCAGTTAATAAGCAATATTTGTATACCTAGAATGTGTCATATGTTTTATTTGGATATATGGGTAACAGAGCTGGAGGGGACCATTACACTGATAAATTTAGTGCTATCCTAAAGATAGTGGACTTTCTGCTACTAAGTAGGGGAATTGCCCCAGCTGGAGGTTTTAAGCACCCACCAGCTGGGTGATGTTGGGCAAGTTATGCAGTTTACCTGGCTCTCCGTTTCCCCATCTGTAATGTGAGAATGGAGTTTCTTCTAACCCAGAGGGTGATGGTGAAGGTTAGCTGGGTTAGTGAGTGGACACACAGTAGCAGTATCAGGCCTGTAGTAAATGCTGGGTTTGCTCTTATGAAGTATTTTTGCTGTGATTTGGCTTCTATCAGAAGATTTCTAAATCCTCTAGATGAAAGGGCCCATGCACAGTGTGTTATGGCTGCAAACCTGTTCCATCCAGACGAGGAGAACACAGTGGGACCTGATCCTGACTCTATCTGCTTTCTTCTTCCGTCCTGATGCTTTTATTTCCGACATGGGGAGAAGCAGCATCTCTTTTTATTTTATGGCCTTGTTTTCCTTGGTTGGTGTCACACCATTAAACCAAATGCACATCCTGGCCTTTAGAAATTCAGCGCAACCGGAACGTTAATATCTCTGCAGATGGATGAGGGCATGGGAAGTCACCAAGATGGCTTAAAATGAGATCCCCTTGCCACTCCCTCAGAAGACAAATGGAAGGAGTCAATTGTCACCAGTCAACAGGACCATTAGCATTTCCCTTATTTAAGAAATATGTCAGGCTCTTCCAGAGCTGCATTCCCACTGGCTGGCTGGGGACTTCCTATGTGACATCCTTGCAAGTCTTGCTCAGTTGTCTGGAACTAGATCAGGGAGTGACCACTGAAAAAGTGCCATCGTACTGCAAAGCGCACAGTGGCTGGATTGGCTGACATGGTTCACTGGACAGTCGAAAGTCCCTCGGCTGCTGCTCCCCAATGTGTCCTCCTGAAATGACATTAGCACTTAAGTTCTTAGGTCCCCTGCCTTTTGCTAAAAGTCAACTTACTTAGGCTCAAATCTAAATGTAAACTACCTTAGCACCCGCCACTGCCACGAGGTATTGCTATTAATAAATAGGAATAGCTTCACTCTTCCACATGTCCATCATGTACCCGTAGGACCATCGTCCCAGCAGGGCCCACCCATGCCTTAGCTTGTCACGTCCCTTCTGTGGGGGGTACTGAGATCCTAGCCTCAAGGAGCACCTGGGTTGAGTGGCCAGCCATGCCCTTGGCAATCATGCTCATATAGGTGAACAGGGAATGGTCCTGGCAGGTTCCTGGAGGGGAGGCAGGTATCACGGATATATAAGGCAGCCAGGAGCAGGGCACAGAGAACTGTGTTGCTCCCACATGAAAGTCAACATCGTGTGACAAGCAAAGGACACTTGACTGTCCCGATGCACCTGCACAGGCAGGGACCGCACAAGGA